CTTGACATGAATTCAGTCCCGGCCAACACTTTGACTGCAACCTTGTGAGAGACCCTGGACTGTAAGACTTATCTAAGCAGTGCCTGGATTCCTGATCCATGGAAATAGTGAGGTCAATGCATGGTTTTGGTTTAACTTTTGATTTTGAAATAACTGTAAATTCCACAGACAGTTGTAAATAAGTGGTATGGAGATCCCAATACTTTTCACTGAGCTTCCCCAAACGGTAACATCTTGCATAGCTATCGTACATTATCAGTCCCTGTTTTCAATTCATTTGAATATATACCTAGGCGTGGAATTACAGGGTCATATTGTAATTCTATGTTTGACTTTTTGAGGAACTGCCAAGCTGTTTTCCACAGTGACTGCATTTTATTTTCCACTCCCACCAGCAATGTATAAGGGCTCTGATTTCCTCACAATCCCACCGACAGTTGCTGCTTTCTATGTGTGCACGTGCAGGTGTATGTTTTATAATAGCCTTCCTAATGGGTGTGAAGTGGCACCTCGTTGTGGTTTAGATTTGCATTTTTCTCATGACTAGTGATGTTCAGCGTCTATTCATGTAGTACCTAATTTGCTGTTAGTCCCATCTAATGTATGTTTTTTTTTTTTTAGATGGAGTTTCACTCTTGTCACCCAGGCTGGAGTGCAGTGGTGCGACCTTGGCTCACTGCAAGCTCTGCCTCCCAGGTTCAAACGATTCTCCTGCCTCAGCCTCCCGAGTACCTGGGATTACAGGCGCCCGCCACCATGCCCGGCTAATTTTTGTATTTTTAGTAGAGAACAGTTTCACCTTCTTGGCTAGGCTGGTCTCAAACTCCTTACCGCAGGTGATACAATTGCCTTGGCCTCCCAGAGTGCTGGGATTACAGGCATGAGCCACCACACCTGGCCTCATGTAACACATTTTTTTTTTAAATTTAGATATTGCCTTTTTTATCTCTAGAAGTTTATCTTTTTAAATATCTCCTGTATCTCTACTTAACATGCTCAATTTTTCCTCCACCATCTGGAGTATGGTTATAATAACCATTTATCATCCTTGTCTATTAACTTTATCACCTATGTCATCTCTGGTCAGTTCCTATTGATTTTTCTCCCCATGGTGGATTACATTTTCCTGCTTCTTTGCTTGCCTGTTAATTTTCCACTGGAGGCCAGACATTAAAAATTTTACCTTGTTGGGTGCTGGGTATTTCTGTACTACTGTAAATATGCTTAAGCTTTGTTCTGGGAAGTTAAGTTATTTGGAAACAGTTTAACCTTTTTAAATGCTTGCTTTTAAGCTCTTGTTTGCTTAGTTGATTTTTAAGCCAGGATCAAAAAGTAGCCTTTTAATCTAGGACTAGATTTGCTTCTCTACTGGGGAAGTATTCTACCCAGTGTCTTATGAAGTTTTCCCACCCACAATCAGGCCAGTGGGAACACAAACTATTCTGGTCCCTGTGTGATCTTTGAGTATTTGTCTCTCTAATCCCTTCAGGTGGTTCTTCTCTTAGCTTTAGGTGGTTTCTTTCTTTCTTTTTTTTTTTTTCAAACGGAGTCTCACTCTGTCGCTCAGGCTGGAGTGCAGTGGTGTGATCTCGGCTCACTGCAACCTCCACCTCCTGGGTTCAAGAGATTCTCCTGCCTTGGCCTCCCGAGTAGCTGGGACTACAGGTGTGCACCACCACGCCCGGATAATTTTTGTATTTTTAGTAGAGACAGGGTTTCACCATATTGGCCAGGCTGGTCTCGAACTCCTGACCTCATGATCCACCCACCTCAGCCTCCCAAAGTGCTGGTAGGTAGTTTCTTTATGGGCATGCACTGACCAATCCCCAGCTGAAGACTTGAGAGACATCCTCTGCAGATCTCCAGAGCTTTCTCTTGGTGCAGCTATCTTTTCTCCAGTTTTCTGTCCTGTGAACTTTAGCTACCTTGGCCTCCTAGTCTTCCAAGTCTGTCTTCTTAGCTCAAAAAGACTGCTAGGCTCTGCCTGTGTTCCTCCTCTCTGCACTGTAGCCTAGAAACTCTCTCCAGGCAGTATGCTAGGGCAATTATACAACTTATCTTGTGCTGGGCACGGTGGCTCATGCCTGTAATCCCAGCACTTTCGGAGGTCGAGGCAGGTGGATCACCCGAGGTCAGGAGTTCGAGACCAGCCTGGCCAACATGGTGAAACCCCGTCTCTACTAAAAATACAAAAATTAGCCAGGCATGGTGGTACATGCCTGTGATCCCAGCTACTCAGGAGGCTGAGGCAGGAGAATCGCTTGAACCTGGGAGGCGGAGGTCACAGTGAGCTGATATCGCACCACTACACTGCAGCCTGAGCAACAGAGCGAAACTCTGAAACAAACAAATAAACAAACAAAACAAACAAAAAAACCTCATCTTGTTTGTTTCTCCCCTTTCTCTTGTCACTATCATATGCTGCCTGATGTCCAGTGTCTGGAAACCATTGTTTTATATAGTCTGTCCCTTTTGTTGCTATTGTTTTAGGCAGTAGGGTGAATTACTCAATCTTGGCCAAATGTAGAAGTCCCGCTGCCTCTTTGTGATACTGGGGTTTAAGATGTTACAGGTCGGGTTTTTCTGGTCAGTGAGAGTCTGGCCCTGAGAGACCGGGCTGAAATGGAATAGAAGAGCTCCTGGAGTGAAGGCAGAATTAGAAATGTAAGGCTAGGCTGGACGCCGTGGCTCATGCCTATAATCCCAGCACTTTGGGAGGCCGAGGCGGGTGGATTACCTGAGACTGGGAGTTCGAGACCAGCCTGACCATCATGGAGAAACCCCATCTCTACTAAAAATACAAAATTAGCCAGGCATGGTGACACATGCCTGTAATCCCAGCTACTTGGGAGGTTGAGACAGGAAAGTCACTTGAACCAAGGAGGAGGAGGTTGCGGTGAGCCGAGATCACGCCACTGCACTCCAGACTGGGCAACAAGAGTGAAACTCCGTCGCGCAAAAAAAAAAAAAAAAAAAAAAAAAAAAAAAAAAAAAAAAAAAAAAAAAAAGTAAGCCTAAATTGTTCAGTGAGTCACTCATGTGGATGCTCAACAGGCAAACTAAGTGGAAACAGAACTGGTATTACAGACAGAGGGATGAGGATGGCAAAGGGCCTGGAGGAATACATTAGCAGTAGCTTCAGAGAATTACAAAGTATTTCTTACAGCTGGAATATAAAGTACATAAGAAGCTGCTATGGTTTGAATGCCTCCCTTCTAAAATTCAGTTGTTGCCTTCGTGATAATATCAAGAGATGGGTCTTTTAAGAGGTGATTAGGCCATGAGGGCCTCTCCCTCAAGAACAGGATTAAGGCCCTCAGAAAGGAGAAAAGAGGCTTTTTAAAAACTCTTTTCCCCTCCTCCTCCACCCCCTCCACTTTCCCCTCCTACTTGTTCCAAAAAAAAAAAAATTGCCCATAAAAGTTTCTGGATGGGAAAAAAAAAAAAGAGGCTTCACAGAGCATTCAGTTTGCTTGCCCTGCCACCTCTGTCTTGTGAGGACACAGAATTATTTTCCTTCGGAGGAGGCAGCCCTCACCAACAACGCAACATGCTGGCTCCTTGATCTTGGGCTTCCCAGCCTTCAGAACTGTGAGAATACAAATTTCTATTCTTTAAAAATTACCCAATTTCAAGTATTCTGTTATAGCAGCACAAAACAAAGACAGAAATCATGTCAGGAAATGAAATGGACAGGTGACTATATTTGAAGGATCCTGTCTGTTATACTAAGGAATTGGATATTTTCTTTTTCTTTTT